AGTCATGGTGACCTCTAGTGAATGACTGTGTGTATGAACCTGGAAGTCATGGCAACCTCTGGTGACTGACCCCTACTGGGGCCCTAGAGGATACTCAGAGAGGTGGCTGAGTAAAGCCTGCCCCTGCCTCCTGCCTCTGATATTCCAAGGAGGTCTCCCATCCAAGTACTTGCCACAATCGACCCTGCTTAGCTTCCGAGATCTGATGAGATTGGGCTTGGCTGGGCTATCCAGGTCAGGGCTGAGCTGCACCCTTCTAAAGCCATTGACTCCAACGAGACTTAGAAGGGTATGGCTTTGATTAGGAGTGCACAGACAGCATCTTCTGACTTGTCAGTTGGCTGAAAACGCAAGTTGAACAAGAACAGGGATTTTTTAAGCTTAGACGTCTTTTACTCACTGATAAAGACCATCTCCCTTAAATAAATAAAACCTTCCAGGGAGTTACCCCCCCCACCTTCTTAGTGCTGTTTGTCATGTTCACTGTCATAACAATAACCAAATCACACCCTATGAAGACTGGCTACACATATTATAGAAAAACGTCTTGGAAAAATCAATAACGTGCAAAACTGGTCACTTACAAAATCCTCAGTGCAATCATTATATGGGCATACATAACTTGTTTAGGACTTCCAGTAATTCTCTACCAGATTAAATGTAAATGCATGAATTCATTTCCAACTATTATGACTACTTGACTTTGAAACAGATAAGTCCAACTGCATGGGGGTATCTTACACTTCACTCTGTAATCTGCAAATGGAACTCCCTGTTTCAAAAATTCTTTTTCAAGAATTGCTCTTCTCTTGCTCTTTAATCTTCAGGTCATACAAAATGCTTTTCTTAAGGTATCTCTAGTGGGCTCTAGTCAGAACACGACTGAACAGCAGACAAAGATTCAAAACAGCAGTTCAACAGAATGCAAATATCCAGAATATCATATGAAGCTTCAAATCATTCCAATAGGGCTATAGCATTCTCAGACATCTGCTCTAGATGCAAAAAACCCCATGCAATAGGGCTATAGCATTCTCAGACATCTGGTCTAGATGCAAAAAACCCCATGCAATAGGGCTATAGCATTCTCAGACATCTGGTCTAGATGCAAAAAACCCCATGCAATAGGGCTATAGCATTCTCAGACATCTGGTCTAGATGCAAAAAACCCCATGCAATAGGGCTATAGCATTCTCAGACATCTGGTCTAGATGCAAAAAACCCCATGCAATAGGGCTATAGCATTCTCAGACATCTGGTCTAGATGCAAAAAACCCCATGCAATTGGACTTAGAATCATAGACAAATAGAATCAGAGAGCTGGAAGGTACTTGCAGGGTCATCTAATCCAACCCCCTACAGAATGTAAGAAATTCACAAACCTCCCCCCACCCCTGTGACCCCTGTTCCATACCCAGAAGATGACAAAAAAACCTTCTGGATCCCTGGCCAAACTGACCTGGAGGAAAAATTCTTTCCTGACCCCAAAAGTGGCACTCAGAAATTCCCTTTGGGGGGGGGGGTAAGTAAGGGCCATAAGATCCATAAGGGATCTAGGTGTTCTGGTTGATCACAAGCTAAACATGAGCCTGCACTGTGATGTGACTGCGAAGAAAGCTAATGCAATCTTAGGATGCATTAACAGAAGCATTGTGTCCAAATCACGGGAGGTGGTAGTTCCGCTCTATTCTGCTATGGTCAGGCCTCACCTAGAGTACTGTGTCTAGTTTTGGGCACCAAATTTTAGGAAGGATGTTGACAAGCTTGAGCGTGTCCAGAAGAGGGCAACCAGGATGGTGAGAGGGTTGAAATCCAAGTCTTATGAGGAAAGGCTGAAAGAGTTGGGTCTGTTTAGCCTGGGAAAGAGAAGGCTTAGAGGGGACATGATTGTAGTCTTCAAATATCTGAAGGGCTGTCATGTAGAAGATGGAGCAGATCTATTCTCTCTTGCTCCGGATTGCAAGACTAATGGGTGGAAATTACAAGGGAGTCGTTACCGGCTAAATATCAGGAGAAACGTCCTAACTGAAAGAGTGGTTGAGCAGTGGAACAGACTGCCTCGGGAGGTGGTGGATGCTCCCTTGCTGGATGTTTTCAGGCGGAAGCTGGACGACCATCTTTCGGGTATGTTGTAGGGCTATCTTTCAGCTATGCTCCTGCAGAGTGCAGGGGGTTGGACCAGATGACCTGCAAGGTCCCTTCCAACTCTAACATTCTATGATTCTATAAGCACTGATGCAACCCTTCCTGCCCTCCCTTTCATGATCTAAGTTCACGGAACCAGCATTGCTGTCAGATGGCCATCTAGCCTCTGCTTAAGAACCTCCAGAGAAGGAGAGCCCACCACCTCTCTTATCCGTTTCAAAGCCAAACAGTCATAACAGTTTGGGAACGATTTCACATTAGTTACGTTTTGCATGGTGGAGAAATACCGAAGGTCTTAAACAACTTGTGCATGTACGTGTAATGATTGTATTGAGGGTTTTGTAAGTTACTCATTTTGCAGATTGATTGACTGCGAACTGTGTGTGATTAAAAATGATATATGTTGTCCTCCCTTACCCCCATCATTGTTAGTCCCGTGTCTATACATGAGTAACTGTAAATCGCTCAGAGCCGGCAGCTCTGCAAGGATTGAGCGATCAATAAATTAGTAGTAGTAGTAGTAGTAGTAGCCAGTTTTTACAGGGCATGATTTTGTCATTGTTTGGACTTACCACCGTGTTCCCTGTATATATTGGATTACTGTATGCTTACTGTCATCGCAGCTAAAGGGAGTCATTTTCCTCCCTCACTCCAAGCCTGACTTAAGCTTAGTAAGAACATATCATGAGGACATAAAAGAAACCATGCTAGATCAGACCGGTGGTCCATTGAGCCCAGCACCCTGTTTCCAGGAAAGACCAGTTGGACACCGTTAAGATGCTCACAGCCTCCTGGCAACAGGCCTAATTCACTGACTGCTTCCTGGGATCTGACAATCAGAGGCATTCTGCATCTGAGTCCAGAGGTCCCATTTGGTCATCCTGGCTAACAGCCAAAGATACGCCTGTCTTCCTTGCCTCCTTCCTTGCCATCATTTCCCTGCTTCCTGGGATGCTCTGCCCACCTTCTTTGCCCATATGTCCAGGGGTCATTTCCTGCAGGAGCGCACAGGAGTGGAGCTCTGGCAGTAAAGAGCCCAGGGGGTGGGCACATGCAACAAGCCCCGCCCCCTGCTCCCAGCAGCCCTCAGTCAGAGCAAGGAGCAGCCAGGTAAGCTGCAGAGCCCCCCCGCCCCCAGTCCAAAACAGTCCAGTGGCACCTTTAAGACCAAGTTTTATTCAGGTACAAGCTCTCTCTTCTCTGCGAGGGCAGATCTACACCCCCCCCCCAATGGCTAGCAATCCAAAACAGTCCAGAGGAGCGGTGGGTGTTGTTGCCTTCTGACACACTTCCAGTGATGTCGGGGTGTGTGGCATATGCAAATAAGTTATGCTAATGAGCTCTTGCACCTCTTTTTCTACGAAATGACCCCTGCATATATCACATCCTGAACACAGGACCACATGAAGCTGTCTTATGCCAAATCAAGCTATTATTCCCATCAGAGTCACTATATTGTCTACTCAGACTGGCAGTGTCTCTCCGGAGTCTCAGGTGGAGGTTTTCCACATCACCTACTACCTGATCGTTAACTGGAGGTATTGGGGACTGAAGCTGGGACCTTCTGCGTGCCAAGCAGATGCTCTACCACTGAACCACAAGCCCTTCCCCTAGAGGAGGCTGTGAGAAGTCCCAGTCCATACAAACTGACCTCACTCTTCAATCACAGTCTGTGAAGGAATGTTTGTAAACATTCCATGTTATCTGTTTCATTTGCTCAGCACTTAGGAACAGACTGAACATTACTATACTAATGTGTCTGATTATAGAAAAGGGCCTTTTTGTAACAAAAAGTGTGTGTGGGGGAAACTAGGAGCAGAGAAGCAGAAGGCAAGGAAAGTGTGCTTAATCCTTTCCCTGCCTGCTGTTTCCAGGTCCAAATTACTCAATGGTCCCCCCCCCCCACAATGTAGATTCATAACCTCTGACTGAAAGCATCCCACCAGCTACTCCTTCACTCTAAATCAACTCTTTTCCTCCTTATAAAAGCCACAGACTACATTTACATGCATTTGCAGTTTAATGTACTGATGACCCTTTGAATGTTGATGAACATTCCGGGACAGGCCCTTAGAATGTCGATGAACATTCCAGGACAGGCCCTTAGAAAGTCGATGAACATTCCCAGACAGGCCCTTAGACTGTCAATGAACATTCCGAGACAGGCCCTTAGAATGTCGATGAACATTCCCAGACAGGCCCTTAGGATGTCGATGAACATTCCCAGACAGGATCTTAGAATGTCAATGAACATTCTGGGACAGGTCCTTTGAATGTTGATGAACTTTCTGCAACTGGCCCTTTGAATGCTGGTGAACATTCCGAGACAGGCCCTTAGAATGTCAATGAACATTCTGGGACAGCCCCTTTGAATGTTGATGAACTTTGAATGTTGGTGAACATTCTGAGACAGGCCCTTTGAATGTTGATAAACATCCTGGGACAGGCCCTTTGAACATTGGTGAACATTCCGAGACAGCCACCGCAATGAAAACCCCTTCATATGTTACAATCTGAATCCCCCACACATACTTCCAGCCCAGCAAAGCAGAGAAGCGCTGAAAGCCAAACTCTGTTCATGTTTCATTATCAGGGCATTCGCTGTCTCAAGAAAAGCTTACTCATCCAGAAGGGCTTTCCCAGTGCTGAAGCTGAATCATCACTTACACGATTACAATCGCCCTGGTGTCTGCAAATGGCTTTCAGCTCAGTCTTGGGGAGGAAACCATGAATAAGGAGGGAAAAAAATTAAAAAACAGAGGAAAACCCCAAGCAATGCCTCCTTGGCTAATGCAGTGGTCACGTTTAAGACAGTTTTTGAGATGGCAAAAAAGCATCTATCAAGACCCAGCTACCTTATGCTCCAGGCTGGAGTCTTTAAACATCAGGGAGAAAGGCTTGATATGCTCTCTTCGCAATTTATCGCCACTCCGCAAGTCGATGGTGTGCTCTATTCGCTTGTTAATTTCCTCGGGCCCCGACTGGACATGCAAAGCTTGTGCAAGATGATTTGGAAGCAGATTTATTGAATTTCTCGTTAAGGCAGCCAGAGTCTAGGGGAAAGCACATGCAAACAGAATAAACCTGCTGGTCCCCTTTTTGGATATATATATAAATATATACTTAAAATGCAATGTCGTTCTTTTCCTTTTTATTAAAAAAAAAGAAGATAATGTCGCATTGCAAACTGTCACAGCATTCCATGCAATTCGTTTACCAAAAGGATGACTGGAGGGTTGTTTTGTTTTTAAATAGGAGTCTCTGCTATTAAATGCATACAAGTAGTTACTAGAACGGCGAGATGAACGGTTGTCTAACTGCATCAACTATTTATCCTTTTCATGGAACGTGGTTGGGGAATATAAGTCTGCGTCGCTATGAAAAACTGCATTTCCCAGCTGCCCCATAAGCAACCTGAGTGTTTGGTTTTGCATCTGCAGGGACATCTGGTTGAGCGTACATGAAGCTGTCTTATACTGAATCAGTTTAAGGTCCACCAGGGTCGGTATTGTTAACTCTGACTGGCGGCAGCTCTCCAAGTTCTCAGGCACAGGTCTCTGCCATTGTCTTCTACCTGGTCCTTGTGCGGAGACAGATCAAGACATGGGTAGCCGTGTTAGTCTGTCTGTAGCAGTGGAAAAGAGGAAGAGTCCAGGAGCACCTTAAAGGCTAACAAAAATGCGTGGCAAGGTATGAGCTTTCGTGAGTCACCGCCCACTTCAGATATCCGAAGGAGTGAGCAGGGACTCACGAAAGCTCTGCCACGTATTTTGCAAGTCTTTAAGGTGCTACTAGTAAAGCTGCGGTGGCTCAAGTGGTTAAGACGCCGAACTGCAGGCTGTGGAAGGTCGGTAGTTCAGCAGTTCGAGACCGGGGTTGCCGCATGACGGAGTGAGCTCCCGTGTCTAGTTCCAGCTCCTGCCAACCTAGCAGTTCGAAAGCAAGAAATTGCAAGTAGATAAATAGGTACCACTTCGGTGGGAAGGTAACAGCGTTTCGTGCGCCTTGGTGTTTAGTCATGCCGGCCACATGACCACGGAAACGTCTTCGGACAGCGCTGGCTCTTTGGCTTTGAAACGGAGATGAGCACCGCAACCCTAGAGTCGGACTCGACTGGCTTTCGAGCAAGGGAACCTTTACCTTTACTTTAAGGTGCTATTGGACTCTTTTCTATCGGTCCTTTTTGACTGGGGATGCCAGAGATTGAACCTGGGATCTTCTGCATGTCAAGCAGAAGCTCTTCCACTGAGCCACAGCCCCCCCACAACTGGTCCATAATGCCAATATTGTCTACTTCAGACTGGCAGTGGCTCTCCAAGGTCTCGAGCAAAAGTCTCCAACATTGTCTCCTACCCGATCCTTTTGACTGGAGATGCCCGGGATCGAACCAGGGACCTTCTGCATGCCGAGGCTCTTCCACAGCCCCTTTCCAACTGCTAGTGTTTAGATTCTCCAAGGGAGAGCGGGGGTGGATAATCTATTTTTTTTTACCTCTCTATCCGAGCATCAACCTTTGATGCAGCTTGAAACCATTGTTCCCTCTAAGCTGAGTTAGTGTGAGCTAGCTCTCAGTTTTTTAGCCTCCGGCTCACAGATTCTTGTCTTAGCTCAGGAAGGAGGGCTCCAGAGGGCTCCAGAGCAAACTAAGTTATGCGGCCGCCAAATCGCTCGCTCACAGCTTTAATGCCAGGAGCTCACAAATTAGAATTTTTGCTCACAAGACTTCACAGCTTAGAGGGAGCATTGCTTGAAACCCATTTTGCCCCCAACACCGTCTCTTCTGATCCAGTTCACCACACATGCTGTATTCCACATCAAGATTGCACAACAGACATAGGCCAAAAGAAAAGAGAAAAGCAAGAAAGAAAAGCACCGTCTACCTAAAAAGAGGCTGGGGAGCCGGCAAAGAAAAAGGAATACACAGACACATAGAACGCGTTGTACAGCTCTCTCTCTCTCTCTCTCTTTTGCAATGGACTAAAATAACACTGCTTAAGAAATGTCACCATGGAATGACAGTGGCTTTGCTTTTGATGCCTGCCCTGAGCAATGCTGTTGCAGTGGATAAAAATAATGCAAAGATGCTTTGTGAGAAGGTCGGGGGAAGGGGGGGGGGTAAGCACCAGCAGTGAAGCTGTCGCTCTCAGAATTATTATGATCTATATTCTAATTTCAAACAATTGCTGATCCGCAGGAGGGGACGCTACTTTCAGATCCTGCTGGCTTTCTCTCGCCCCTTCCTCCTCCCAGCCGTGACCTGAGCCCGTCCCAGCAAGACTAGATGAAAAAGAACATTAAGAGAAGCCCTGCTGGATCAGAGCAGTGGTCTGTTTAGTCCAGCACCTGTTTCACGCAGCAGCCAACCAGTTACCTTGAAGGGCCAACAACAGGGCACAGAGGCCGAGGCCTTCCCCTAGTGTTGCCTCCTAATGCTCGGATTCAGTTTTACTGCTTCTGTATGTGGAGGCTCTGCTCAGTCACCATGGCGACTGGCCACTGATAGATCTCTCCTCCAGGAATCCTGGCTTTTGGAGTGTAGAGAGAGCGATCTGCCGTGCTAAGCTAAACGACTTAGCCTCCCACCGTTCAGCACACAAGCTGGTGCTTGCCTGCCTCTGCTCTCCAAGCCTTCTCCACGACTCCTGCCTTCCTTCCCCCTGAACATAAGAACATAAGAGACGCCAATGTTGGATCAGGCCAAAGGCCCATCCAGTCCAACACTCTGTGTCACACAGTGGCCAGAAATACCAGGTGCCAGCAGGAGGTCCACCAGTGGGGCCAGGACACCAGAAGCCCTCCCACTGTTGACCCCCCCAAGCACCAAGAAGACAGAGCATCACTTGCCCCAGAGTCCCTATCTATACCTTGTGGCTAATAGCCACTGATGTTGGATCAGGCCAAAGGCCCATCCAGTCCAACACTCTGTGTCACACAGTGGCCAGAAATACCAGGTGCCAGCAGGAGGTCCACCAGTGAGGCCAGGACATTAGAAGCCCTCCCACTGTTGGCCCCCCCAAGCCCAAGAAGACAGAGCATCACTTGCCCCAGAGCCCCTAGCTATACCTTGTGGCTAATAGCCACTGATGGACCTCCAGAATGATAAGTTCTGGAGAACACAAATGCTCACTGAGACATTTTCTTTTGCAATCCCAGGCGCAAAAACGCAATTTGCCCCCTCTTGCAGCGCAGCATGGAAATTCCTGGAAACAGGGAAGTCTGATGCTGCAGAGCAACACGGGACGAACTGCATTTTTTTGCACCTGGGGCTGCAGAAACATCTGCAGAAACGAGGGAAAGCAGTGGACGAATACAAGTGAGGCGCGGGGAGAACCGTCCCCGTGGAAAACGTCTGCTTGTTGGCTTCCCTATTGCTTTCAATGGAAGAGCGCATCCTTCCTTTGCATAGCATTATGGGCACATGTGCAGCAGCATGGCTCTGTTGAACTGCCTGAGAAGCCATCCCAGGCAGAGGCGCTCCAATGGTGTGCTGAAACCCATGGGATCAGAACAGAGTTCAGAGTTTTTGTGGAACTGTTGACTCAATATAAGACAAAATTCATTTCCACATGCACGTCCAGCCACTGATTCTTCTGCTTGATTTCAAATGTTCAGATCCCCTGTGCTCAGTTTGTGCTTTCTGTACATGCTGAGACTGCACGTATTATAGGGTCACCACTCACTGCCTGGCAACCAGCAGGAGGGTTGGGGGTGGCAGGGTTCCAGGAGAAAAATTACAAAGGATAATAAGGCTTTGGCTGCTTACCTGAAGTTCTGACCACAGAGTTCCTGGTGATTCCTAGAGCTACCCTAGGGCTACTGGTCATCTTAACATAGATTGATAGAGTTACCCTTGTCACTTCCAAATAGCTCTAGGAATCAACAGGAGCTCTGTGGTTAGAATTTCCTATAAGCATATGAGGTCTTCTTTTTCTTTTCTTTTTCTCACAAGAAGATTGCACTCCCCTACCTTTGGCCCCAGTTTTCCCCTCACCTATCAGCTGAGCATCGGCAGGGAAAGACTAGAACTGGCCAGAGGTCTCCCCCCATAAGCCAGCAAATGGAAAGCCCAACACATTCTCACAACTGTACACACATTTATTCAGGGCTTTTTTTGTAGAAAAAGCCCAGCAGGAACTCATTAGCATAATAGGCCACACCCTAACAGCACAGCTCATTAGCATCTTAGGCCACACATCCATGTTACCAGAAGTGTGGTCACCCAACCACACACCCCTTTTGCTTCTTATTCTGTTTACCCTGTTTGTTGTCAAAACCCAGGGCTTTTTTTGTAGCAGGAACTCCTTTGCATGTTAGGCCACACACCCCTAATGTAGCCAATCCTAATGAGTTTCTGCTGTTGGGTGTGGCCTATTATGCTAATGAGTTCCTGCTGGGCGTGGCCAACTCAGGAGCCAGCCGGAACTCCGTTCCTGTGCGTTCCTGCCCGAAAATAGCCCTGCATTTATTCATGGATACATGCAAAGTGCCTTATCTGGAATCAGATCACTGGTCTATCAACATCAGCATTGTCTACTCTGGCTGGCAGCAGCTCTCCAGGGTTTTTGGTGGAGACCTTTCACGTTACCTTCCAAACTCAAGATGCCAAGGACTGAACCTGGGATCTTCTCCAGGCAAAGCAGATGCTCTACCACTAAGCCACAGCCCTTCCTCTTTATCAAAAAGCCCAAACCACCAGGGTTCTAATTCTGTATGGGGATAGTATGGACTCGTGCAAAAGGTCCTAGAGAGTGGGGAAATTCTTAGCGTGTCACAGATGTGGTGACTCTCCACCTGTGACATCACCCTCCTGAAGGGTAAGAGGTTGCCTGCCACAGCAAGCCTATCTAAATGAACTAATATGCCAGGTGACAAGAGACATGTCCCCATCTAGATAAGGGTTGTGATGAGGCCAAGCCTGTCAACCAGCAGGAGGTCTAGGGGAAGGGACATGGAAGAGTGGGTGGGTGGGTGAGACGGTGACATCATGGACATCACTTCCAGGTACGATCTGGAAGTGACAAAGGGTAGCTCTAGGAATAAGGTTGCCAAGACC